ACTGAAACACCTATGGAACTGAATGCTAGATTGGGTAGTGATACAGGTGAGGAGTTTGAGGATCCGGGAAGGTACAGAAGGCTGGTGGGTAAGCTTAATTACCTAACCATCACTCGACCTGATATCTCATTTGCGGTCAGTGTAGTGAGTCAATTTATGCAGAATCCTAGAATCCCACATTGGGAGGCAGTCATAAGGATTGTGAGGTATTTGAAGGGTGCTCCAGGTCGTGTTTTGTTGTATAAGAGTGGAGGAAGTCTTGAGATAGAGGGATACACGGATGCTGATTGGGCCGGGTCCATATCTGACAGAAGGTCCACTACAGGTTATTGCACTTTTCTTGGTGGGAACTTAGTGACATGGAAGAGTAAGAAGCAGACAGTGGTAGCAAGAAGCAGTGTAGAGGCTGAATATAGGGCTATGGCTCACACGACATGCGAACTGGTGTGGTTAAAGTATCTACTAGAGGAGATGGGATACTCTATTGACACTCCTATGAAGCTGTACTATGATAATCAAGCTGTAGTTCATATCTCCTCTAATCCAGTGTTTCATGAAAGGACGAAGCATATAAAAGTGAATTGCCACTTTGTACGTGAGAAGGTGCTCAATGGAGTGATAAGTACAGCATATGTGAACACAGGAAATCAATGGGCAGATCTGTTTACCAAAGGGTTGAATCGGGGAAGAGTGGACTACATATGTAACAAGCTGGGACTATATGACATATACTCACCAGCTTGAGGGGGAGTGTTAGAGTCGGCTGTACAGGGGTAGTACAGTCCTTTTATGTTTAGTTATATATGTACTGCTCAGCTGATGTGGCTCTCACTTAAGTGAGGGCACAATGGTAATCCTTGTATATCTTAGAAGAGTATAAATAAAAGAAGGGCCGACTAGAGGGATTATGATTTTTCTCTCTAGTTCGGCTGTGACCTTTTCTCCTTCTTTTCCTTCTCTTTCTCTCTCTCTTCCTTCTCTTTCTTCTGATCTGAACATATATGAACATCTAATCTGAGTTTTATCAATAAGTAACCCATAAGAAAGATCACTTGGTAAGATGGGAGAAGGTGGTAAGGTTGAAGGTAGGAGGCCTGGTGATTGGAAACGTTAGAATGAAAAAATTGGCTTTGTAAAGCAAATGGCTTTGAAGGTTTCCTTAATGAAAATGAAAGATTGTATGACAAAGTCATAGCAAGTATCCACGGGCTATCAAACAACGGATGGGATGCTGGTTGCCTGCATAGAGCTACTCTGGCTGCTCCTTGGAAATCCATCCATGATTTCATTCCTACCTTCCTCAACCATGTCAGGTATGATTTAGCCTTGGGCCAGAAAATTAGATTTTGGGAAGATATTTGGGTTGGGGAGCATCCTCTGTCTGAGATCTTTCCATCCCTTTTTACACTCTCCAGCCTTATATGTTGACCTATGTCTGAGTTCGTTTCCTAGAACTCTTCTTCCATAGGGCTTAATTGGAACCTTGGGTTTACTAGGAATCTTAGAGAGTTTGAAATATCCAGTGTGTTAGATTTGCTAAGCTTGTTAAATTCAGTGGTTTTGGGGGAAGATGATATGGATACTAGGGTGTGGGTTCCTAGGGCTTTTCTCATGTAAGTCTTTCTTGAACTCCCTTGTAGCCACTTACCCGTCTCCTTTCCCTGTGAAAGAAATTTGGTACGCTCCCCCCTCTCCCCTCTTCCACCAAAAATCATTGCCTTCTGTTGGGAAGTGTTTAATGGTTGTATTAACACTTGTAGTATGATCCAAAGCAAAAGACCAAATTGGTGCTTGCCCCCAGCTGGTGTTTTTTATGTAAGTTGAATGGTGAGACTGTTTTTCATCTGTTCATCTCCTGTCCTTTTATTGGCTGCATTTGGAATGGTTTTCTTCTCTTTTTGGGTCCAAGTGGTTCCCTCCTGTTAGCTTGGAAGGGTTGTTTAATCTGTTTGCTTTTAGTTGCACTAAGAGGAGGGGTAGACCTTGTGGAGATATTCGACGGCAGCAGTGATCTGGTCAGTCTTTGAAGAAAGAAACCTAATGATTTCTGAAGGCAAGAAAGAATCAAGGAAACTTTGATAGTGGCACACTGGTCTAGAACCTTGAGTCTTTTCTCTGGTTTCAAGGTTGACGATTTCAAGTCTTGGGGTGCAATAGCTGATTCTTCCTCTAGAAGACAAAAAGTTTCTGTGGAGTGGGCACTACCATCTTGTGGTTGGAAGAAGATGAATTTTGAGGGTAGTTGTGGGTAATCCAGGTCTATCAGGCATTGCTGGGGTAATAAAGGATGAGAAAGGAAATATGCTCTCATTGTACTCGGGATCAATTGGGGTGGGCAAGGTGATGTAGTCAGATCAGAATTCTTGGCAGCAGTTTTTGGGGTGGAGAAAGCAAAGGAATTGGGTGTTGAAAGATTGATTATTGAAGGTGACTTGAGAACAGTGGTGAGTTGGCTGAAAAAGGAAGAAGGATTAACTGGGACTTTAATAATTGACTTCAGATGGCTCAAAAGGCTATCAAGAGAAATGATATTTCAAGCCAATTGGGTTAGAAGATCTGCAAGCAATTTGGCAGATGGTTTAGCTAAGAAAGGGGTTCAGAGACAATCTATGTATTGGGCTCATTTGTAATATTCTGGGATAAATTAATCCCATTGGTTCTATTTTATCTCTTCACAACTTCTTGTTGTACTTCTTTTATCTAATTTAAATGGATTATTTTGTGTTGCTGATCGAAAAAAAAAAAAAAAAAAAGAATTGGAGGCATATTACCCCTATCAGTGAGGGAAATAATCTTTCTCAACAGTTAGAATGATTAAATAACCTCTTCAAGTAGGGAATAGAGTTTCTCAACATGATGCCCTGCATGGCTTCCTTTGGCTCATCAAGATCTATTGACAACATTGATATCATTACTTAAAACAGTATATTCCAGAGTATTTATTCATTCTGAGTTTTCAATACATCTTTATGTTCCCTTGACTTTTAAACAGAAATACATGGTTATGTATCTTTGCTTTTGCGTTATGCTTAGAAGGGATTAATATTTCAGGGGCACTGCGAGCTTTACAAGGAGAAGTTGTCAAACAGTTCTTGCAGCACATCTTCTCTCTATTGTGAGGGTAATTGCTCCAATATTGCCACATTTGGCTGAGGATGTATGGCAGAGCCTTCCTTTTGAGCACACTACAGAAGATGGCTTTGTTGCCAAATTTGTTTTCGAGTCAAGATGGCCAGAATTGGATGAGAGATGGTTCTCCATGGCTACAGAAGATGTGGACTTTTGGGCAAAAATTTTGGAGGTATTGATCAGATCCTCGTTGTTTCACTCAGTAAAATAAAGATTGTTTTATAGATTCTCAAATTTGAGTTTGATATGTTTGTTTTCTATCAGCATTTAAAAAATAAAGTGCAATAGATTGTCAAGTTATGCCTTAGGCTTATAATAAGGTAATTGCTAGCATCATGGGCTTCATCATCACAGAGCCCTTAAATCACAAAAGGGGAACATTTAACACCTTTTAACTCAGTATTCACATGAAAACCCATATTAACTTTTTAATCTTTGTGATTTAAGGGCTCCATGGTGGACAAGACCCATGGCATTAGAGCATTACTTTACTAATAAATATCTTGTTCATATTTATCTCCTATGGAAAATTTTGTTTTCCAATCCATGAGAAAACTTGCTGATGTTTCCATCACAACCAGATATTCTTTAGCAATTGTGTCATGAAATTTCTAGGGAGATTGGTTCTCATAAGCAATATATTTGGAAGGGTAAATTACAGACAGCCATCCTGTACATTGGGGGTAGTGACACTTAGCCACCTGAGCCTTGTTTTGTGACAAAGGCCCCCGTAAAATTTTGGATTTCAACACTTTGTCCACACCATTGGCATTCTGTCAGTTAACTTCATGAGCTATTCTGTTAAACATTTTTAAAACCACAAATTACCCTTATATTATCTTATGAGGCCATTTGCTCTTTTAATTAACTTAGTTTTTCTAAAATCCTCGCACATGTTTTTTTTCAACCATCTTTCAACAAAGTTCATCTTGAGCACACTTTGAGAATGATCAATTCATTTTTTGATAAATAGAATGATCCGTTCATCAATGCCTTGAGAATGATTTTTACTTTAATATTATTATTTTCATCATTTTTATATATATATATATGTTGCTGTCAGCCCATAGAATCTTGAATGGGAAACTTAGCAATTCCACTTCCATTGTCAACCTCATTAGTGGGTTAGGGGACAGAGTGTTTAATCTAGAAGTTCAGAGGGGTATTGTTACAAAACAAAGTTTGTGGGGCTAGGTATTACCACCTCCAAATTATCGGGTGGCTTTCTGTAACTTACTTTATTTAGGGGTTCAAGTAACTCAATTGTAAACATCAATCTCATGAAATTCTCAATGTTTTCATGACTTTTTTGCATGGTAATTTAAGAAATATTTAAATTTCCTAAAACTTGATTCCTAACAAGTTTTGGTGGGCTTGGTTTGGGGAATATACAAGTGAGAAATAGAGCTTTGTTGGTGAAGTAGTTATGGAGATTGTCTATTGAGAAGGACAAGCTGTGGGTGAAGGTGATTGTCAGTATTTTATGGTCTTGCGGCTGATGTTTGGGATGCTGGTGTGGGTGAAGGTGATTGTCGGTATTTTATGGTCTTGTGGTTGATGTTTGGGATGCTGGTGTGCTGCTGGCTAGGGCTACAAACGCTTCTCCTTGGAAGTCTATCCATGCTATCTTGCCATTGTTCCTTAACCATGTTAGGTATAGTCCTTGCTCTGGTAATTCTTTTAAATTTTGGGAGCTGGTTTGTTTGTGTAACTCCTCCCCTAAAGATTTATTCCCTTCCATTGTGATCTCTAATCGGAAGGACGAACCTATTGCTTCCTTTGTGTCTCCTTCCAATTCCACCTTCGGGCTTGTGTGGGACCTTGGCCTTAGAAGAGGTCTTCATGACTATGAAGTTGACAGAGCCTTGAATTTTTTCAAAACCTCGAGGGTTTCTATTTAGATCCTTCTTCTAATGACTATTGGGTTTGTACTCTTTCCCCTTCAGGCACCTTCATTTGTGCTTCTTTCTTTCTGTCCTTAATGAGACTAGTAGATAATGGGGGCCAACCTTTTCCCATGAAAGAGGTTTGGGGTAAGCCTATTCCATATAAGATTGGGGGTTTCTGCTAGGAGTTTTTTTTTTTTTTTTTTTTGGATAGAATTAATACACGTGAGCTTCTTCAAAGGAAAAGACCTAATTGCTGCTTGTCCCCTCATTGGTGTATTCTTTGTAAGGTTAATGGGGAGTCCACTCATCACTTGTTAATCTCCTGTCTTTACATTATCGATTTGGAAATGGTTTTCTTCCTTTCTTGGACAGAGGTGGATACCCCCGCCAAATGTTCAGAGGCTGTTTGACCCTACCTTTGTTAGATGGCAAAAGAAGAGGGGAAAAACATTTTGGAGATGTTTAAGGGCTGCAGTTTGCTGGACTGTTTGGGAAGAGAGAAATGAGGGGCTCTTTGAAGGCAAAGAAAGAAGGATGCTCTAAGTGAAGCCGTTATAGTTAGGGTGATCCATTGGGTGAAATTAAAGATATTTGGTGGAATTCCTGCTGTTGATTTGATGAGGAAGTGGAGAAGTGGCTGATTCTGGGCCATTGAAAGAGTTAGTTGAGTGTACTTGGTATCCTCTGCTGATGGTTTCATCAAGCTGAATTTTGATGGCAGCAGTGAAGGAAATCCTGGACCATCAGGTACTGGAGGTGTTTTCAGGGATGAGGAAAGCAATATTGTGGCTGTTTTCTCTGCTCCCTTTGGTGTTGGGGATTCGTTGAGAGTGGAAATCTTTTCTGTATCGGAAGGAGTTAAGAGAGCCAAAGAGCTTAACCTTACTAGGGTGCTAATTGAAGGGGATCCAAAGTTGGTTATTGACTGGCTTCAAAAAGAGGATAGGGGGTGGTGGGGTTACATGAATGAAAAAAAGGAAATTCAGACATTTGACACAAGGAATGGAAGTCAAGTTGAATTGGTTTAAGAGGGATGCCAACTGCATGGTTGATGCTTTAGGTAAATAAGGGGTTGGGAGAAACACTTATTTCTGGGTTATATCGTAATTTATTTCTTGAATCTATCCGGGGGAGTTACGAGGGTTTATCTCCTCCTTTTTTATGTACCTTCCATTTTTCTAAATTATTAATGAATTTCAGTTATTGATCAAGAAAAGTAAACAAGAAAAATTATAAATTACTTATCAGAAAAAAATTGTATTATCTTTTTGGTAACTTCCAAACAGAAACAAGGGAAGACCAATTTATCCAAAGTGGAATATGTGCATTTGAGATAGGTATTTAATGATGAAAGATGTTATGAGCTGGCAAGGTCATATATAATTATAATGAACCAAGTTTTTCATCAACAAGAACTAAGATGGAAACATTAAAGATCAAGAAGACAGAACCGTTGTTGTATGAGGGAGAATTGGAAAAAAAGGAAAGATCTTACCGGAAACTAGAGGGCAAGAAAGAAACCAGAAAAACTCCAATTACACCAATCCTTGGCCCCACACATGTTCAATTAGCAGGGTGGACTTCCCTTTTACAGATTTTAATCCAATCTAAAGAACTACTCAGAAACAGATCTCACTAGAACTAAGAAAAACATATCTAACCAGCAGGGACTCTAATATGGACTTTAATTCATAAACAATTCCAAATACCAACAATTGCAAACTTCAAATCCCATAACCAATTCACACACCTATTTCTCTGGATTAGAAAACATCAGATTCATTAGGTATTGGTCTTATTGGAATTGTAAGTGAAAAGTCTATTGATGGCAACAAATAAAAAATGCAATTGGATTCCCTGCAAGCAAAAACTTTGCACACACTGTGAAAGCATGGGAATCCTGCTGCACATTGGGAACATTTCCCCATGAATTTAACATAATGTAAGGGAGATATTCCCAATGTGCAGCTGGATGCTATGTGAGCAGAGTTTTTTCTTGCAGGAGATCTGGACAAAAGATTTAATTTCCAACTTAGGCCATAAGATTAGAGTCTAATTATTGTAGTGAATAACAAAGATGAACTCATAATTTCAGGCTTTTCAGCTTTCAAAATTTTCTAAGACTTTGCTAGCAAAACTAAACCATTGTTTTGGAAACTGGACCAGACTGGGTAGTTGAACTAGGTAGAACCAAACAGGACCCTCTCCAATTCATTGAATACTCATATTTTGGAGGTTGAACCACCGGGTAAAGCAGAAAAACCAGGAAAGGGTCCCTTTCTGGTTTAATGCCCTGTCCGGTTTTCACCATTGCTCTTAATTGTTCTGGTTCTTGAAGATGACCCAAGCTAGTCAAATATGAAAAGCCCAGGTTCTAACCATCTGAAATTCTTGGGGAATAGAAGTTCAATTTCTTTATGCTGTAAATGTTATGCATACCAATTTTAAATTTTTAGTTATAACTCTTTTGCATCATATGAGAAAATCTAAATTCAGACATCTTTGTCCAGCTGAGAACTGAGGTGAATAAAGTTCTAGAAATTGCTCGTAGTGGGAAGTTAATAGGTTCGAGCTTAGATGCAAAAATATATCTGCATTCTGCCGATGCTGACATGGCATCAAGATTACATGGAATGTGTATTGCCAGAAATGACGCAGACATGTTGCATCGTATATTTATAACATCACAGGTATGTTGGTTTCTGGGACACTTTGGCACTTGAAATTTACTCATTAGCTGAAATGAACCAGAAGTCAATAGTTTTCCTTTGGTTCACTGGTGCATTAAGTTATTGTGTCTGTTGATTTGATGGGGAAACTTTTGGGGTGACATAATCAGAATTACAGTTTACTGATGAACCTAATGGGCAATTAGAAATGCTTACACTGGCTGCACAGGGTTTTCAGATAAGTGGATGCTTTTTTATGTTTTCAGATTCACCCATTCAATGAGTTAAGTAGAGGTGATTATTCCTGGCATGGCTAGCTAGTCAAGCCCAGCCTACAAATTTCCAAGGTTGGACCTTGGTTTTGTGTCGAAGCCTGATCCTGCATCAGGCCCAGAAATTTGTGGAATGGGCCTGGGCCCAAAAAGTTGGCCCATTTGGGCCCCAAGCCTACTCTAGAATATACATATATTACCATCTTCATCTAACTTTATGGGGTTGGCTACATGACTTGCACCATTCTGTTCTGTTCAGTACCATATTCATTGTTAAATTAATGGCCCTTGATTCATTTCTTACTTTCTTTTTTTTATTCATTGAACTAGACAACAGGTGTAGCCCATCCTCCATGCCCATACCCCCCCTCCCCCGTGAAACCCTGGTGGCACTGGGATTTGAATCATTTTTGACTAATCTCTACCTAGGTCTTTTTTATCTTCCCCCAACTCTTAGCCCCTTCATTTCTAATCTTATCCTTTCTAGTTTTCCCACTCATCCATCTCAACATTTTCATTTCTGCCATATACATTTTCTGGGCATTTTTCTTGACTGTCTAATACTTTACCCTTTCCATTATCCCAGAATAGTACTGGCCAGGCTGGGCCTAGGATTGATTATGCCCCTTGAAATAGGTGCTAAACCTGTCCCAGCCCTTTCCAAGATCACCCCTAGCTTTGATTCAAGAATCCAGATCAATTGCTGAAAGTGTTGCATAGTTTAGTTCAGACGGAATTGGAACCTTAGAATTGGTATTAAACCCTGCCTTAATCAATCCAAGTTCCTAACAACTCACAGTTAACCCACGATCTCTTTTAAAAATGGAAAAAATGAAAAAGGAGAAAAAACCGCAAGGCACCTCTAATTCTGTGTGGTCAGCAGCACTGCATGACCAAATTGCATTTCCTTGTGGTCGATTTGTCATATTTAATGTGACCTCACTCCCTGAAAATGAAATGAAAATTGCAGGTTGAGATTCTTTCTTCATTGGAGAGTGAATTGATGGAAAATATTCCATACAAAGGAGATTATCTTATTGGAGGGAAGAGCAGAATTTGGATTGGTGTTTCACGTGCTGAGGGTTCAAAATGTGAAAGATGCTGGAATTACTCACCCCAAGTTGGTTCCTTTTCTGAGCATCCAACCCTCTGTAGTAGATGTTATAATGTTATTGGTGCTCAACTACTTCCTGCTGTGGCAGCAGTTAGCTGAAGATAAGCCTGTAGAAAACTTAAAGAAGCTTAAATCAGTTATAACTCAGCCAGCTGTTGTCTGCTACCAAGGCCAGGATGTTCCTTAAAGCTGTCCCGCCCAGATTATCTTTATGGTTCTCTTCATAATTGGACAACTCCAAAATCATGTTTTCAATTCCTTAAATAAAGGCATCAAGCTCAAACACGTTTCAAGTCATGGAGATGCTGAATTCGGCATAAGCAAATAATGTATTTGTGTAAATTATCACGAGAAAGCTTGGAATCACTAATAGGGCACTAATATTTGTCATTTTTTTATAACTAGCAGTTGTGTATTATATATTATCTCAGATTATCCAAATCCAGTGGTATTTATATTGCGCTGTTCAGTACAGAAGAATCAAAATGCTGTCCAATGATATTTGTTGTCAGTGTTTAAAAGACAGTTTTAGTAATAGTGCCTAGGCTCACTGACAGTGCTCATTTTTATGGGTGCACCTAATCTAAATGCAGGTTTACCCTTATCTGCCTTTCCTCCCGGTTGGTCACCTTTCTTATTGTCATGTTTCGATGAGACGTTGTATTTAATTTTGAATACTTGATTTACTTTATTGTAGGTTGCACTTGTGATGCTTAGAGTTTAGACAGTTTAACCTGTAGGTTTTGAATGTACAAGGATACATTTGTGTTAATAGCATGATACTCTTAACCGATTAAGATAACAGATTTTCTTCAGACATTCAATAAAATTGGAATTATATTAACATATTGTTACACTGGACTAAAAGAATGCCGTGAGATGCTGATTTCACTTTCCTGATCCTTGGCACGTCTTTTTTCCTTGAATTCACTGTAAAAGTTGCATTTCGCCACAGATGTATTTTGAACAATAAAATAGTGGGATGCATTCTCAGGTACTGAAAGATGAACAATAAAAAAATTGACTGTTTTCTTTTTTTAGGGATATATTCCGTTTTTTGAAAAACCAGGAGCCCACCCAATTGATAATTTGTTATTGAAAACTACTTGATTTGTGACACAGATTACTCACATATTGTTTTGAACAGAAAATGCTTATTAACCGCAATGTTATTGCAAAATGAATCCAGACACAGTACTCGCATATTGTTTTGAACACAGAAAACAGAGTACTCGCATGTTTGTTAAGGGAGAAGTAGTTTCCAAATTCTGCATCAAACAAAATGATCCAGACATCAAATGAAATAGTTTCCAAAATCTGCATCTGGTTGCATGTAAATTGGAGGAAAGGAAATGCAATATAAACTGTTCAGAAATTGATATCCAATAGAAAAATGAATACTTTCCTAAACGTGATTGGGACGTTATATTCTATTGGAAAATGCTTGTATTTTGTGGTCATTTACCATACACTGGAAAATAGTAACATTTTTTGAGGAAATCGTTCATTTCTCTCTCTCTCTCTCTCTCTCTCTCTCTCTCTCTCTCTCTCTCTCTATATATATATATATATATATATATATATCACTCTTAAATCTCTTTTAATCCCTTTTTGTTCTATCTAATAAAGTAGGGTTATTAATTAGATGGATTGAATTAAGAGCCAACTTAAATATGAATCCTAACTTTGACTTATACTAATATCAAAACGCAAATTTGCCCACCAATACATGGGGTGAACCGATTTTGCAAGCTGAAAGCTTGATAGCAAGAGAGCTAGAATTCAATAAATCACACATACCTTGGGTTATTGGGGTAGATGCCCTTATATAGATGAGCTGCATGGGCTTCACAAAACACCTCCAAGATCCTTAGCCTGCGTTGTTAGGAGTCTATTCCGCACTAGGAGGTGGAATTCATGTTTGCCGATAAAGCTTATCGTGTTCGTCCGATCCGAGCGGGATGAGGATAAGACCTATAGTCGTGTGGCATGATCTTGAAGAGATCGGAGATAGGTGGCTTGTTTTTAGAAGTTTGCTATGTGTCACCTCGGCAGGTTGGGCTATCCCGAGCTACTCGGACCTCTATCCTGGTCAAAATGCTCGAGGTACCCAAGGTGATTTGGCCTACTGAGGTGGTAGGAAATGCTGAATCATTGTCTAGTCAGCAGGTTGCATCCACATGTTCGCTATTTGGTAGGTCGGGCCAAATCACCCCTCATCAAAGCCTTTATGGGATAAACTGCAATTCAAATAAGGAAATGACAGTAAAATGAAACAAAATAAAATGAAACAAAAGATCTGAAGCCTTCAGGGGATCACGAATTGGTGGACTCTGCCACCTTCTGTTTTTATTTGCACCATTTTATTTGTAACAAGAAGCTTGTCAAGCACCGATGACGTTTTTGTAGGCGACGGAGAAATGGTTACGCTCTTCGGCTTCCACGGTGGTCGTCACCTTCTCCATGAAGTCGAGGCTGAACAAGAACTGGTACAAGTCTCCTAGGGAGTTTGTAGAGGATGTAAGACTTAATTTCAGAAATGCGATGACGTATAACCCAGGATGTTCACATTATGGGAGAACAATTGTCTATGATATTTGAAGAGAAGTGGGCAGTTTTACAGGCTGAACATAATCTTGATTCGAGGTATGAGATGGACCATGATGCATGATGCAGGTTACCTACACCTACTTCGAGGAAGGCTCCTGCTCCCCCTCCAACCTCTTGCAGAAGCGAGACGGCAGCTGGATAGGTCAGAATCCATTACACTTCCCATTATTCCAAGTGAAGCCCGCTGTTTTTACTCCTACTGGAAGAACTCCTCTTTGAAGAAGCCCAAGGCAAAGGATCTCCATAAGAGGGACATGACATATGAAGAGAAGCAGCGACTCAGCAATAACCTTCAGAGTTTGCCTTCAGAAAAGCTAGATAACATTTTCTAGATTATCAAAGAGAATTCTTCCCTCTGCCAGCATGATGATGAGATTGGAGTGGACATTGATAGCGTTGATACAGAAACATTATGGAATGGAACTTGATAGGTTGGTGACCAACTACACAAGAAGAGTTTGAGCAAGAACAAAAGGAAAGCTGAATTAGCCATGCAAGCTAGGTAACAGAAGCATAATAGAATGTAGCCGCAGCCATGGCGGAACAAAAAAAAAAAAGAACTCCCAAACTAAAGAAACAAAGCAGAATTCTTGGCTTATTTTTCTTACCTAAAGCTTACGTGAATGTATTCCTCTCTGACCAACTTTTTTTTATTGAAAAAACGGTAATTTCTACTGTAACAGAACATTCTGGACTTAATGGAGTCTAGAGGGGAAAGACGAGAGAGAGCGGAAACAAAAGAGGAAGAAAAATAAGAAGAATCAAAATCTTTCCATGTATGGCTACATGGGTAGGCGTAGAGAAGAGAACCATGAACCAAAGGACGAATTGTCCTGTCGCTCGAACTAGACTTAGTGACTTACCATCTTCTCTCTTTCTCACCACTGATCATCTTTAGGCTGATTGACAACGAGGGTGGAAAGATCAACGAGTGTTCTTGAAGAATGTGTTTCTCTTTTTCACTTTTAATGAAATTTTAATAAGAAATTGTAATGGAGGATACAGTCTAAACCAGATGGCTGGTGTGCAACGTTTTACTCTTTCAGCCGTCAGCACAGACCATTTCTTCGTATCTCTCTACTTGTTCGTGAGTTTTTCCATGTAAATTGTAAACGTTTTCCTCATGGGGTGTGAAAGAGCAACAGATGCGGCAGCCATTGATGAGATCTCTAGTGACTTGGATTCAGGTGTGAGTTCGCTCCGTTTTAATCAAATCTAAACAATCTGCTTTGTTGCTTCCCCTTCTGTTTTGAGCTCAACACCAGTTCTACATCTATGTCATTTGAGCCATATATGAGCAAGAACTCACAACCCTCATAGTTCGGAAAGTCTAGAGGATTAGCCGGAGCAAACTTCAGCTTCCCTGTTCGACTGTCTACACTCCCTCCCTGACCTATACTCTTTTTCTGTTTCCCTTTTTTTTCATTTTGAAAAATTGAAGGAAGATAATGGGTAAAATAGTCTTTTTCATCTCTTTATTAATCGCTCAGAAAATTTAAGGATACTCTATCGACAAAATCCTTTTAAGTAGCTTAAGATATTTGCCCATAAAACAATTATATGTTAAAAATGAAAACATATAAACTAAATCCAGAAAGATGGAAAAGACTATTTTACCCGTCTTTTTAAAACTTTCAAAATGAAGCATTTGAATAAAAGATTATTCAAACATTAAAATTTTTAAATTACCCTGGTTCCACTCATCTTCGTCTGTCTCCATTTAAATTTCTAAATTTCCGAAGAACGCATTTTCTGGTATCGTTTCAAGATCAGCTCCTTGGAAGTGGAAGATGAACTTGAGAAAACCAGAATTTTTTATTTTTATTTTTTTGGCAATGCGTAACAGAGATCCAAAGTGTATGGCCTCTGATAAATCATCCCTCTTTAGTTTCAGCCAAGCAAAGTAATCCACCAATACATTCTTTACACTTTCGTAAGGCTTCTGATCAATGTAAGTGAAGGCGGAGCCCAAGTCAATGACGCAACCACCGGTGCTATGGGGTTGTTTGGACGTTTCCTCCTTTGATGACTACGTCGCTGCCAAACCTTATAAAGCTGGAAATCTTCTTGGAGAGAGAAGATTCTACTAAACAGTAAGAGAAGCGTTGGATAATCTGGCCACCCAACTGGGTTACTAAAGAAAGAGTGCCTCTATTCGTTCCCAATATCCCACTAATCTCCATCACTAAATTGGAAGTTTCGGTTCAGATTGCTACAGCCAAAGAATACACCATTCTTGGCCTCAAGGGATTGATTATTAGATGGAAAAGTGAAGGTTTAAGAAGAGAAGAAACCTTTGGTTTTGGAATCCGTTCCCCTAGAGGGCTAGAGGCCACCCGACGTCTCTGTATTCCCCTATGGTTAATATACTATATTTTTTCTTACAGGGAGAAATCTATGGGATTACGAGGCTGTATTCTTTTGATTTCTGTGTGCTTTTCTTCATTGTTTCTGTAATTTTATTCAAATTTTCTTTGTTGGAGCTGACGAAGAAGAAAGGAAGAATAAAATACAAATCGAGCTTCTTTTCTCTTTCTTCTATGCCGACGTCGAAAAGATGTCCACTTCTCTCTTTCTCTCTCTCTCCTGCCTCCGCCCTCCCCTGTCATTACCAAACGCATAGTGGATTGATGCCTGTTGCTTATGATATTATTGTTGATTGTAATGTTTCTCTTTATAAATAATTCAGCTTTAAATATAATACTATTAATATATTTATATAATTTATATGTATTTTCAAAGCATGCATTTATATCCAAACAATTCAATACAATACCCAATACCATATTTTAATAGGGGTGGCAATTTTCCCCGTCCCCAACGGGTATTCGAGCTCTTCAGCCTGATGGGGTCGGGTATGGGGGGGTACTTTGGCAGGGTCGGGGTTGGAGGGCGATCCTTGAATCCTTGATCGGGTTTGGGGACGGGGATGGGGAATGCAATCCCCACCCTGATCTGGCCCCGATTAATATATATATATAATATATAATATTATATAATTATAATAATTATTATTTGTTTTTTTAAAAGATTAAAACTTAAAAAATAGTAAAACATTAAAACCCTCGACTGCAAAACACAAAACACTTCACCTTCGAGTCTTTGATAGAGAGAAGAGAGAATTTTGTTTCTGAACCCTAACTTCGTGCCTTCGTCTTCCTTTGTCTTTGTCATCGATTCGTCGACCGCCGTCGCTGTTGCTACTCGCTCGTCGGACATCGAACAGAGGATAGAAAAGAGATACTCAAAGAAGAGTTTCAATTCTTTAATCTTCCTTCAACCTTCGTCTATCGTCACCATCGCCTGTCGGACTCTCTCTCTCGCTGACCTTAACTCTCGCAACGATCCTCTTTCTCTCTCTCTTTCTCTCTCTCAGTCTCAATCTCTCAGTCTTAGATTCTCAGTCTTTCTCTCAATCTCTCTCTTTGTCGTCGACCTCAGTCTTAGTCTTTCTCTCAATCTCTCTCTTTGTCGTCGACCTCAGTCTCAGTCTTTCTCTCAATCTCTCTCTTTGTCGTCGACCTCACTCTCAGTCTTTCTCTCAATCTCTTTGGAATTAGGTAATCACTCTTAGCCTGTCGGGGATTCAGGTCTCCGACGAGAAATTCATCCCCATCGGGGTCAAGGATGGAGGGAGGATTCCTTTCCCTACCAGGGATCGGAGACGGGGATGGGGTGATTTGGGAGTCAGGGTCGGGGTGAGGGATGGGGAATGTAATCCCCGCCCCGAACCTGCCCCGTTGCCATTCCTATACTATAATGATTATAAAGACCCAAAAACTTTACAATCTTCGTATCCTGTTTTATTCTAATAGTCATCATCGGTCGGTCCGAGAGAGATGACCCCACTAACAATAAATCATCAGAAAGTGACCATTAGTGTTGCAACCCATCAAAATAATATCTCATTACCCCCAACGTCCCAACCGTTCAATTGCCCCAACGCTGTGACTACTAAAAATGGCAAACGTCATTCAAGGCACATGGCCTCCTCTCTCTTACCCACTTGATAACATTTAAAAAATAACTAAGGTCCCATTTGGTTGGTGGGAATAGGAGTTTAAAATCGGAATCAAAATAGATTATTCTAATTCCAATTATTTGATTAGATAGAATTGAAATCCCATTTTCATTTTCATTCTCATTTAAAGAAATAGCCATTTCCTGCTCCTCTTTAGAAATGAAATTTCATTACTATTCCCATCCCTATTCTCATTTCCATTTCCATTCTGTCTGAATCAAAAAGGACTAATTGAAATTAATGAATCATTTTGATTCCAATTCCAAAGAATTTCTATTACTATTGCAAACCAAATGGACCTAAAAATAAGATATTATAACACTGATAAATCAACAAAGTTCTTTACATCATGAACCCTAAGGAGGGTACATCTATTTATATTGGACTGGATTGGGATTCATCCACATTGGGTACAATTTCAATAAATGACTAGATTTGGAGAGATCAGATTTGAATTCAGAGCTGATTGCATATATAGTACAATACAGCTTCAGATTTTGCATGAACATCCCATGTTGGGGAGCCTGTCTCTTACTCAGCTAAAAAAGAAAGTTTCTACATTTAATTAAATTTCCACTTATGATATCATCAACAAACAGTAGTACGTAGGAATTAAACTAGACACGTGGACTATTGATGGGATATTTGTCAATGCAATCAAACCATGGCCCATTGTCCTTCTCATCCAACAAATCCCTGAGGCACTCCCATACCACACTAGCGGCTTTCCACCCTGTCCCCAACCCAAGCTGCCACACCTTATCACCCTGCTTCACCATCTCCTTTGCCTCCATGTAGCCCAGCTCGTACCACATGGCAGCTGAGGACTGATTTCCAAACCGATGGAACGTCATGATGGCTGCTTCCATCTCCCTTTCTGTAAGCTTCAACCCACTGCCTATTCTCCTTATAAAAGGTATTCCTGACACTGGTAAACAGAAGTGTTGTATCACAGATCTGAAGTTGGGAACGTAAATATCTCCAGATTGGTTGATCATCAATCGCTTCTTCAGTACATAAAGAGTGTAACGAAGCTTCTCTTTTATGGGCAAGATGGACGCACCAAAGAGAGTGATGTGCGACCTCAGAGTCAAGCCAACAAACTGCAGGAAGTTCTGGTTGATGTTTACCCCAAGTTTGCCTTGGGAATCCTCCTCTCGCATCACAGAAAAGTGAGCTTTATCGATGGAAGCTATTTGGGATCTTACAGTTCGAAACAGTTTGTATTTGGAGGTTTCTCGGGCTTTGTTTCTGTTTGTAAGCAAGATGGCTGCACCACCCATGCGGAAGGTGCAGTTGAGGAGCAACTTGGATCGCTCGTTGCCGGGGTACCACCCGGCGGAGAGGATCTCGGTGCTAAGAATGACAGCGTTAGAGTTTTTGTAAACCTTTAGGAGATCACTGACGAGAGTGAGAGCAACTGACGAAGCACTGCAACCCATTCCAGAGAGATGAAAGGTCTTAATGTCATCTCTCATGGCGTACCGGTTGACGATGATGGAAGGGAGAGAAGGAGATGGACAGAAGACGGTACAGTTAACAATAAGGATGTCTATGTCAGCAGGAGATATGTTGGTTTTAGAGAGAAGGTCGTCCATGACAGGGAACAGGGCCATGTGTACTTCATTAATGGAGTCCTGCTGATGGGATCTTAGTGGGATGTAGTGCAGTGAAGGTGGGAAGTAGGTCTCTTCTCCTTGTCCGGAAGAAGTGATGATTTTGGCCATAAAATCCACGGTTTCTTTGTTAAAGATATTCGCATTGGAAACAAGCTCAACGAAGAATGATAAAGGGACCCTACAGAAGCCCGGTGGCCTGAGACATGAGTAGTCCACCATATAGATAGAACAGGTGCTTGAAAGAAAGCGTTGAACTACTACAAGGAACAAAACAAAATAAGATAAGGGGAGAAGTTGGTAGATGGGTCTCCATTTGTTTAGAAACAGAAAAGCTTCCATCAAAATCATGCTCAAGAAAGTGGAAAACCTGATGAGATAAAAAAGGACTGAATATGCATGACGCATTAAGTACTTGGAAGTGTGGAGATTTAGCGCTGAACCAGCAGCCTCCATGGGGAGAGAGAGAGAGAGAGAGAGAGAGAGAGAGAGAGAGAGGTGCTTATAATGATATTGGAGCCTGGAGATGTCTATTTATAATAGGTTTTTCACAAGAATGGTCTTAGTGTCTTACTTCGGCTACAAATACAAATTTGTAGAGTACAAAGCCTTGTATTTTGTATGTATTTTTACTCTACATATTTGTATAGTACTCTTTCCAAACTCAAGCAATCAGTGCAAGCTAGAGGTGAAAATTGGGTCATGCCGCCCGCGGCCCAGTACGAATTTGGATCGGCTCGGCATGGCCCGATATGACGGTCCATGGGTCATGTCGGGCCTAGTACGATCATGTGGGCCGGATTGGCATGGCATGATTGAGTAGGCCATGCTGCCCCGCAGCCCACATGCTGGCACATGACCGAGCAGGCTGTATCGCCCCGTGGCCCACATGTTGACATGGCATGACCGAGTGAGTCGTGCCGCCCTGTGGCCCACGTGCCGACACGGCCTAGCCCACGGCATGACTCATATATTATTTGTATATATTATATATATATTTATATATAATATAATATATAATATACTATATAAATTATAATTATATAAAAATATATAGTATATAATATATTAATAAAATAAACAATTTTTTCAATTTTATTATATTAATTTATTTAATTATTGTATATATAAGCAATTGTATACATCAAAATTCATATAAAATTAAAAATTTAAGTTTTTTTCAATTTTTTAAATAAGTAGCTTTGGCTCGATCCACGGCCTAGCCTAGCCCAAGGCTTGGCCCATAAACCCGCCCGGCCCGTGGCATGGCACATGCCCGCATGGGCTGAGCCGGGCCAACCCCCAAGTTATCCCAGGGGAGGGTGACACGACTCGGCTTGTTTTACACCTCTAGTGCAAGCTAAAACCTAGAATTGGCAACAATTCCCCAGTTTAGGGATGGCAACAATCCCTATAAAACCGAGGACCTGCCCTGTTGCCCTGAATTGGGTGGGTTTTCCCAAATCTTAAACGGGGATGGGGCGGAGATGCGGGTTGCATATAATTCCCCCAAACCCGCTCCAAATTCAATGATAAATTACTAACATATGTTCACATATAATATTAATTTTTAAAATATCCTTAAAATTCTCCAAAATTCCTAAAATATTTAGGATTTCATAATCCCATGTTTAAAATATCCTTAAATTTCCATTATCCAATTTTTAAATTACTCTCAAATAATATATTTTTAAGTGGTTGACTCGAATTTGCCGTCCCCAACAGGGAGAAGGTGCCTTACCCTGAACCTGCCCCATTTCTATTCCTACTTCTTTTGGTTTGTTTTATTGTCTAAAAGATTAAAACGAAACAATTATACGTTAAAAAAAATGAAAACATATTTATTATTTATATATAAATATATCAAATAAATAAATTTTTCCAAAATTTTAATAACAATTAAAAATTATAATGATCATTATAATATGATGCATACATGTTTTAGAGTCTTAGTATTATTGATTATATAATGTTGATAATTCAACTTTAAATTTAATGAATTATAATTTATATGCAATTCCAAAACGTATTTACATCGTGTCTGCTTCTATCCTTCTAGCAACGTCGACCCCAGAGAAACCACCCCACTGACAAAATTTCCAGATCTGAGTCAAGTAAAATTAATGAACTTTACTTGTTACACCAATGGTTTAATTTAATTTCCCATAAAAAAATATCCCATTACGCCCGACAGCTATTGGCGGTAAGCAGAGGAGACAAACGTCATTCAAGGCACGTGGACCTGCCTCTCTCTCACTCTCTCTCTCTCTCTCTCTATATATATATATATATATCTCACCCATTTCATAACAATTGCAACCGTGAATTGATCATTGCCAACTCTTATTTTGACAATAAATATATATAATAGAAAGCGCAGTGGGTTGTCTGATGAGCTCTTGGAACACATTAAACGGGTATCTACTTAGTTTGATTTGGTTGGTGGGAGCAAATTATGCGATTCTGTTTTTTTTTTAAATTAAATTTTTTCCAAAAATCGTTAATTTTGGTCAATAAATCATTGACCTGGGCATTTAACCATTCAAACTGTTTCCAGGTTGGTTTAAAAAACCATGCCCATAAACACTAGCAAAACAGTTCTCAAGCTGACTTTGAGATTGGTGAACACTAAGACTAGTGGTGCTCAACAAAAACTGAAAAACCGAAAACTCTAGTTAGTGGAATCGATTAGTTTAGTGTTTTGCAAAAACCGGTGGTACTAGTTTGGTTTTCTGTTAACCTAAAAGAGAAATCGGCACTCGCCAGTTAATTAAACCTTTTACTTTGGGGTAATGAAACTGAAGGGCTTGAACTTTTTTTAGTTTTTGATAGAAACAAAAGATGCCAAAACAAATAGAAAGTAAATCACTAAGAAGGGTATAAAGATTGAGAGAATTAACAGCACTAAACAAAGAATGAGCCTTGTTCACCCACTAAACAAATAGAAAGCAAACTCTACCTTCCAGCTTTTCCTTCATTATCTGACAGCAGCATTCGCCCCCCTAAGTTTTTGAAAATATAAGTCTAACAGCGATATGTGACATTGCAGTGGATTGTAAAATTATCAAACTGCCCCATTAATTATCGATCTTCTGATTTATTTAAGATTAATACCACAACTTAATTCACAGAAAATTAAACAAATTACAAAGACAATTTAAGATGGAGTAATGGTTGTACTGGAAAGCTGCTCTACATGATAAACTAATTAGGAAAAGTAAAATTGATTTTTGTTACAGAATTACCAACCAGCTTAAAACGACAGAACATTGGTGCAAGTAGTTACTGCACAACTAGGCAAATCAGAATTGAGAAACTGAGATGAATCAGGTGGCGCCATTGAATCAGAATTGAGACACTACGTAGTAAAGATTTCTGTGGGTCCTAGCCCCTAGGCTATTTTTTGCATGAAGCATATATGCATGTTGAATAATGGGGCCTTCATTTAATTAATTGCATTAATTTCGCCATTACAATGCTTGTTTTCTTTCTTGAGTTCAGCAGTGATATATATATATATACCAAGCTTGATCACAAGAAGTGGCACTGCAGTGTCTCATATCTGGGTTTCCACTACTGTATTAATTGTTGAATGTGTGAGATTTCTGTGGGTCCTAGACAATTTTTTGCATGAACCTTGCCGACGTCTATATATAACTTAGAGGCCTTAACCTATTGTAATCTTCCTTGCCGACGTTCACCAAAAGGAAACCACTTCTGTGGGCCTTCCTTGCCGACGTCTATATATACTACATTTTCTCCATGGAATTTCCAAGGGATGCCAACAGAGGCATGGTTGTTAGTTTCAAATGATGACGACGACAATAGTTTTTCAGTGTAAATGTTGTTTAAATGATCAATTAAAGCATGATGTATTCGTGTAAATGCTGTTTTCAACTCAAACACGTAGCTTAAAAAATTGTTGGTCTAGCAAATTAAACCATTGATTTGACATGGTTATTAGCATGTTCATGTGTTAGACATTAATATTCTTTATTATTGTCTTCTTAATTTTTATCCCATTTTCATCATTAATGAAAATGATTCTCATTTATCATATTTATTTTTTATATAATGAATATATAATATTACAGAATGTGCCCAAATTTCTCTACAAATTTTTATATTTTTTAGAACTTTATTTATATTTTATTATTAAATTATAACATCATGTGTTTACTCATTTAACATGGACAGTTGAACTACTAACCAAACACCTGGATTGGAAAAACCATTTCGCTTTTTCGCTTGATTTTAAATCATGTATTCCGTTTCCATCATCAATAAAAGTAGTTCTTATTTTTACATTTATTTTTTTAATATGATGGATATGTAATATTAAAAATGTATCAAAATGATTGATACAAAGTTTGTATTTTTCTTTGAGTTTATATATATATATATATATTTATTTATTTATTTATTACATAATTATAACATCTTAGACAAACCCATTTGACCTAGAAGGTTAGACCATTGACTTGCTATCTAGATATGAAAATGGTTTTATTTGTACATTGGTTTTAAATTTTGTATTTCATTTATAATTCATGTTTATCACACTTATCTTTGTTTTATATTTTGCATTACATAATTATAACACTTATTTTTACATTGGTTTTAAATTTTGGATTTAGTCRTCTTAAACTCACAATGACTTTTTAACATTTCTCTTAAAATCATCATGACCTTTCAAAACCTCCAAAGAGCTCTGTTTAGGGATATTTTAAACACTGATTATGGGATAGTTAAGGTTTTAGGAATTTGGGGGAATTTTAAGGATATTTTAAAAATTAATATTAAACCTAAACATATTTTAGGTTAACTATGGGGAATTATATCCTAGCCCTATCCTCCCTTGTCCCTTTTTAAGATCAAGGAAAACTCACCCAATTTGGGGCAGGATATGGTCCTGGTATTACGGGGAAAGTAGCCATCCCTAAAAAGAGCTCTTTAGAGGTTTTGAAAGGTTGTGATGAGTTTCAGAGAAATGTTAAAAAGTCATTGTGAGTTTAAGACAAGTAAATCCAAATTTGGTCACAACAATCTATCAAAAGCCATGGTTCTAGGTTTTATCTTGCACTAATACCTTAAATGTGGGATTTAAGGAGAGGAAATTGAATGCATTGAATAATAGTATTCAAATTACATTTTCTACCCTTACAATAGAAGGGGCCATATTCCAAAAAAGGGGGTATTTTAGCCAAAAAAAGTTCTAGAAATTTTAGAGGCTATCGTACATTTTATAGTAGTATAGATATATTGCGGGGTCGTCTATCTTGTGATGACTAGAAGGATAGAATAGAGGACATGAGGATATCAAAAGCTTCCGGGTCTCTATAATGACCAAAGTATTGGTATCAGATATTGTATTAAATAGCTTGGATATAGATACAAATGCAGATACGCTCAACAATACTTGCATTCTAAAACATGTACACATCATACAATAATTAATACTTATAATATTTAATTTTTAT